TGTAAAGCATGAAGTCTCTGATAGTCCTGGCTGAAATATTTAAAATAAAATTAAAATACAGTACAGCTCACTGGGCCTTTCCCACCCAAAGTACACTAAAAAAATAAATAGATAACTGCCAGTAGATCAGAAACATTAAGTGAGGATTCCACTGAAAACATAAGCTTAGATTTAATGTAAGGAAGTTATAATTCTTTATCACCATTATCATGTTTTAAATATGATTAATTTTTAAGCCACTTGAGCACTTCTTTTTCAAGTGCTTATGCTTCAGATTTGAGAGCACAAACATGATGATCTCAGTAAGGTATATGGTGAAAGCAAATAGAGCTTTCCAATTTTTCTTTGAAAAACTTGAAGTACAGGAATAGCCAACAGCGAAGTTACTAAATCACAAAAGGAAAACATCTCTTAGAAAACTGCAGATTACAGGCACGAAACATTCAGTAAGAAATGTCCAAATATTCAAAAACATCTCTATATCCCTTTTTCATTGTTCCATGTAATTTGGAGAGCTAATATGACAGTATAACTCTGGTCATTCATGAACAAAGCCATTTTGTGCTTTCAGTTATACACAGAGAAGTAATTGAGTTTAAAAGATGTAGAAAGCAATACAAGTTAGCAGGGGAAAATGAAGAAATTATTGCGGTGCTATTAGAAAAGCAGCCTGTTAGCCTAGGAACCCTTTTTTGTTTATAATTTCATAAACGGAGTCAGTAGCCTGAGACAAGCCTGTCACATCTTTGGCTTTGAACAAGGGTCATTGATGGATAACTGACCTCCTTTCTCACTTTTATCAACAAATGTCAAAAAAGGCAAACAACAGCAATGACATCCTGCCCAAACAGCCAAGAGTGTTTCATTTTCTTTGCACTTCTGTTTCCTCTGTGCCTTTAATCAGGGCCGGAGGATGTAATTGCTCTGTCTGGGCACAGCTTAAGGCATGCTGTGCAACTAACAATTAGTTTAGAGACTGAGATCTATAAATTTTGAGAAAAGAGTAAGAGGATTTGGTGTGCTTGAGCTATCCTTTCTAATGAAGAAAAATATCACACCGGAAGGGACCCAGAGTGTTATCAAAGCAACTTAATATCATCTGGTAGTGATTTGTAGGCCCTGATAATCTATTGTGATCATGTTGAAGGGGGAGGAAAGTCCACGTGTTCCCCTATTTATGAGATTTCCAAAATGATGGCCACCATCTGTGCAAACGCCACTAATTTCAGCCACCGTCTTCATGGCAAATGGCTCCATGAGATTGTCCGAGGGAAGGGAAGCACTGCAGGAATGTAGAGCTATTTATTGTTTATAAAAATAAACCAACTGGACTAAGACATATGCAAGGAATTTATATCAAACAGCTGCAAAAGCAAGTTGCCTCAATAGGGAGGGTGCATTGATGATGCAATCAGACCACACTGACAGATTCTCCTATTATTCTTAGAATAGATGTGGCATGCTCGAGATACTGACTTGCCCCTATCTCCATCCAAACTCACCTTACATGGATATTCTTAGAACCATTTTTGAAAACAGTTGACACACATTGACTGAAACAAATTTACTGTGTGAATTTATTAACTATGTAAGTAAAAGCAAAGTTTAAGAGCAGTCTGTCCCCTTAAAAGCTTACCTCTGAAAAAACATTTCCTCCTTACTGCTTTAGCAAAACAAGCACAATGCAGATGCTAGTATCCTGCATCAGTGAACCTTCATTTCACGTACATCAGGCTTCTAGAATTTGAAAATTCCTCATTTTATGGTCAGTAATGTAATCCCATTAAAATCCCTTCCTAATTTCTTAAGGAAGGTGACCGAATACATCACAATAAGCAACAGCACTCACTGAGAACAAAATGTCAATGAATAACGTGATAACATCAAAATGATAAATGGTAACTCTACAAAACCACAAAGTATAATATTTTAGTATTGGGCCTGCATAACAGCACCAGACAAAGGGGAAAAGAGATTTAAGAAGAGAGACAAGCTTCTTTCCTTTGCAAAGCTGGTTTACCAGCTGTGTCTGACACTGGAGAGAATCTTACTTATTTAACTGTTAATGGGTTGGTATATCTACAGCAACCTCTGGGAAATTCTCTTTCCAGGTCTACATGCTTGAGAACAGCTATCTTCGCTTTTCATTAAAACAGCATGCACTTTGAAACACCTGCCTTCAGGAAAACTCTCAAGCTGATTGACTCTAACATGAGAATTAATTCAGGCTGCTAAAGTGTGTGAACAAGGCTCTGCAGAACAGTGTGTAGGTATTAGGCTTTTCCATAATACGAACTGGCAACAATTGCTCTTTTGGGAATCTGGCTCAGCTGGAATTCAAGCACTTTGTTTGACAACTGACTTTCAAGGTGCATGTCCTTTTCCTTTAAACAAACAGATGATGCTTGAAAGCCAAGGTACAACAGTGCATACATATATGCACGCACTGTTTAATGAAAAAAAAAAGAACAGAAAAAAGAACAGTTTGCAAGAAATCATTTGCTACAGTTTGCACGTTACTTATACAGGTTGATACCAACACATCTGAACTGAAGAAGAAAAATGTTCTGTTTGCTTCATTTCATTAAAAATAATGATTGCAAGAGCCACTGAAAGTTACAAATTGTTTTCTGACTTCTAGGAGACTCTAGGACTTGGGTCTCATATTTTAGAGGAAAATTGAACAGTCACAACATTTTAGTTCGTATGCACTAACAGTAAGACACACGTTAACTGAAACCTTGTTAGCAGCATTTCCTTTCTTAACCCGTAACCCCAAAAGCAAAACCCTCAAACTACTCCAAGTACAGTTTGTGCAGTACAGGCACAATTGTGCATTGGTGACACTGTGTCTGAGGGTGACTTCTCTGAAGAAAACTCCCCTGGAGACCTTCCAGCTGCATCTCTCCCTTATCTCTCTCACACAAATATTTTTTAAGTTCTCTGTTCACACACTCACAATCCACAAAAACCACACACTTGGACACTGGTGCAGGTTATAGTTTCCCTGTAGTTATGGCTAATCTACAGAACAGCAGAAAGGCTGTTTAAATTTATTAGTAAATCTGCCAATAAACTTGCCCTTCAGAAGAAAGAGATGGTTGAGAAACAAGCTCAAAAATATCTGCAGTCTTAATAATCAGTTAAATGCAATCCTGGTGTTGCTCAAGGAGTAATTACCTGACATTTTTCTCTGACAATACAGCATAGACATTCTTGTATTTCCTTCTAGGCTCTGACTGATCATTTCTGTTCCTGTGCTGCAAATAATCCTCTTTGCTGTGCTGAAACCTACAGAAGTAGTCTCACAAAAAGCTGTAGCAGTGCAGCAAATGCAGGGTGTGTGACCCAGGAGCCAGTGAACCACCAAACTTGACTTAACTACTGAATAAAATAGATTCTAGTTCTGCATCTGCAATACACTTCATTCCTGATCAAATTTCAAACTGGTTTTAATTTGAAAATATGCAAAGTCCTGAATGCTCTTTCAGTAAAACTGACTTCAGAGCATGCTAAATCTACCTCATCAAGTAAAATAGTTTAAGAAATTAAGCTGGGAGCATCTATTGATATGTAGATTTATGTCTACTACAGAACACCTAAATGTTCAGAACACATTTAGTACTGGTACTCAAGAGAACTTCAAAAAGTTAATCATCTAAAGATCAGCGTGCATAAGTAAAGTATGTGGCATCTACAGGGAGATGCTCTATGCATCAACCAAAGGTCAGACAGCGTCTGCAGAAAAAGCTATGACACCCCTAGTTAGGTTCCAGAGCAGAAATAAATAAAACAATCAGTGTGAGCACACCTTAGCTCAGGTTCACAAAGGAAAGTTGCCACAATTGATTTCAAGTTACACCACTCCCATTAGTTATGAAATCATACTAGAAAGTAGGTCAGTGGAATGATCCAGGTTCAAAAGCTGTTGTGAACTCCTGGTAGGGGAGATGCAAAACTGGCAACAACCTCTTAAAGCAGCTGTGCTACATGAGAAACAGTGGATTTGTATCTAATGTTATACTTTTCATGACAACTTTTTACTGTGTTTTGAGGTATTTTACATCAATAAGTTCGCAAACAGGTCACAGAACCAGGGGAAAAAATGTAGAGCTTGAGCCTCATCAGTGAGAAACCTTTTCAGTGAGAAACCTTATACTGGCTTTTGTTTGCAATAATATTTGCAAAATGAGCCCCAGTATTCAAACACAGAAACAAGATTAGATTGTGTCCTGTTCAAGCATGTCAAAAAAGTACAATCATGCTAGAAGGTTTGAAATGATGTGTATTTTCACTTCCATTACCTCAAGCACTAAATGGTGACAAACTGAATTTCTCTAGCTGATTCCTTTTTAGGGATCATTGTAACAGAGATCTTTATAACTCCTGTGTACTTCCTACTCCTACTTACTCCTGCATCACCGCTCTTTCAACACAGTGCGAAATACCACATTTGTCACTCTACTGGAATGTAAAGGTATATGCTTCATGTGATATGTTGTTTCAAGATTGCTGTGTGATTCATACTATGATGGGGGAGAAAAGACTTGAGAGAGAGTGCCGTTTACTGAATTTCTCAAGTTATTTATCAGTCTTTCAACAGATCACCATATTTTTTCGATTAAGACATACAGAGCTATCATTTAGGAGCTAGCAGAAGTACTTTTCTGTTCACAAAATTCAGTACTGGTAACACTGAAATATATATTACTTTTTATTTCATACAGTGAGCACAAAGGGTTTCAGATTGCAAGATGTACAATTACGTTATTAAAAAAAGAATAGCAAAATTCAGTTTTTGCACAGCTTGTATATTATTTGCATGACTGATGAGGAACTTTTATATAACTTCCTTCTAATTAACAAGTATGTATGTCCATGACAACTGAGAAAAGACTTAGTAAGCCTTTAAAATATATTTTTCTCTGAACTATTCCTCCCAGTATTTTGAACATGAAAAGATTAAATTAGCAAACACAGATACAGAAAGTAGATCTTACCTTTTACTCCTTTTCATGAATGCATCCTTCCAGTAGTAATTTGTCCCTTAAAACAAGAGTAAAATATCTGTTAGTTTTATAACAATAATACATTTTTTACCCTAGAGGTCCCCTTTTTCTCATTATCAATTTTTTTTTTTTTTTTTTAAGAGGGTGAACATTACAATTCCACTCTTATTAGTTGAATAGGAACTGGCTCACTGCAGTGTAAGCATTTTACCTGAAAGGGCAGAGGCAGAAGTACCCAGATTCACAACTGCTGTAAGGTATTTTGAAGGAGCTGTGATTATTTGCACTAACTAACTAATTTATCATCACATTGAACAGAAACAGTTTGCAGATAGCTATATCTCTGTTATATATTCATTGTTTAAATAAAAGGGAATCCTACATCCCCAAACTCTGTTGTATCATAAACTGATCTTCCTCAAAGAGTGTACTCCTTAAGTATTGGCAATGTTATATAGTGCACAAACAATGATGGCTATCATCTACTTTATGGCAGAAATGCTCACAAGAAAGGAACTTATTTTAATACATAAGAACACTTAATTTAGCATTTTTTTCTTATGCTCTACAGTTACTTTTTAATCATATGATTTAATACTAGCTAATAAAAACTATCTGCAGCAAAAAATGACCTGGAGTAGGCAAGATAAAATTTACAACTGACTTATATCAAAGCCAGCCTAATCCACTGGAAACTTGAGGAATAAACAAGGAGTCTCAGTCTAAACATTAGGGAGACTGAAATTTTAATTTTGTGATAAAAACTCATTCCACCTGTAAAAATTCTGGAACGGATAACAAAAATAATCTTATGCACTTGTCATTATTAGTTTTTGCTTTGATCCTCTATAAAGTCCTCCAATATTCTCCCAGTTAACATAGCTGAAGCCTTCCAAAACAATAAATAAGTATAAAACTTTGGCCACAAAAAAGAAAATTAAACAAAAAAAATCATTTTAAGACTTCAATCTTATGTGATATCATTGAGAATAAGATACTTTTTATTATATAGAATCACGGAATCACTTAGGTTGGAAAAGACCTTTAAGATCATTAAGCCCAACCATCAACCTAGCAGTGCCAAGTCTACCACTAACCCATGTCCCTAAGCACCACACCTACACATCTTTATAATACCTCCAGGGATGGGACTTAACTGCTTCCTTGGGGAGCACATTCCAACACTTCACAATCCTTTCAGTGAATATTCTTTTCCTAATGTCCAATCTAAATTTCCTCTGGCACAGGTTGAGGAGATTTCCTCTTGTTCTATCACAGGTTTTTTGGGTAAGAGAATGACCTCCACTGCACCTCAGCTTCCTCTGAGGAAGGATAGTGTCTGTCCTCAGCTTCCTTTTCTCTGGGCTAAATATCCCCACTTCCCTCAGCTGCCCCTCATAAGATTTATTCTCCATACCCTTTACCAGCATTGTTACCCTTCTTTGGCCAAGCTCCAATGCCTTAATGCCTTTCTTGTAGTGAAAAGCCTAAAACTGAACACAGCACTCAAGGTGCAGCCTCACAGGAGAACAATTTGTTCCTATTCCTGCTGGACACACTATTTCTGATACAGGCCACGATGCTGTTTGGCCTTCTTGGCCACTTTAGCACATTTCTGGCTGATATTCACACAGAATCACCAGGGTTGGAAGGGACCTCAAGGGTCATGAATCTCCAACCCCCCTGCCACATGCAGGGTCACCAACCTTCCCACCTAATGCTAGACCAGGCTGCCCAGGGCCCCATCCAATCTGGCCTTGAACACCTCCAGGGATGGGGCATCCACAACCTCTCTGGGCAGCCTGTTCCAGCACCTCACCACTCTCTCTGTAAAGAATTTCCCCCTGACGTCCAACCTAAATATCCCTTCCCTCAACTTAAAACCATTTCCCCTTGTCCTGCTGTCACTCACCCTTTCAGAGAGTTGATTCCCCTCTTGTTTGTAGGCTCCCTTCGGGTACTGAAAGGCTGCAATGAGGTCACCCCGCAGCCTTCTTTTCAGTCAGCTATAAATCAATACCTCCTGGTACTATTCTATCAGAGTTTTCCAGCTCCTCTTCTCTCAGCCTGTGGTGCTTCACAGAACACTTGTGATGCTGCTCAGGAGCTAGCACTCATCCTGCCCAGCCCCACACTGCAGGCCTCAGCCCCGCAGCTGTGCCCACACAGGTCCCTCTGCAGACCAACAGTCCTGCCTGACTGGGTGCCATGTGCAAACTTACTGCACGGCACTCCAGCACCTCTTCCAGATTGCTTATAAAGATATTCAAGAGAACTGGCTGCAGTACTGAGCATTGCGGGACACAGCTGGCCAGCTGGATTTAACTCCATTTACCACAGCTCCTTCGGTTTGACCACTCAGTTTTTTACCCAGTGGAGCATACGCCCACCCAAGCCACAAGCAGCCAGTTTCTTCAGAAGAATGATGTGGGAAACAGTAGAAAAAGTGTTACTAAAGTCTAGCTAGGGAGCATCCACAGCCTTTTTCTCATCTACTAAGCAGGTCACCTCATCATAGATCAGGTTATTCAGGCAGGACCCGCTTCTAATAAGCCCACGCTGATGGGATGTGGAGACCTGGCTGTCCTGCACATGCCACAGGACGGCACTCAAGATGGCTGCTGCTGCGGATCTCCCTGGCACTCTCCCTTTTGTCATTAATGTACTCCCAGAAACATTTCTTACTGTCTTTAACACAATAGTCAGATTAAGCTCCAGCTGGACTTTAGTCCTTCTCATTTTCTCACAACACCTCTGCAGTGGCCTGTCCCTTCTCACAAGGGTCAGAAAGTCTCTTTTTCTTCCTGAATTCCAGCCAAGCCTTCTGTTCAGCCAGGCCTGCCTTCATCCCCACCAGTCCATCTTTAAGCCTGCTCTTGTACTTCAAGATGTCACTCCTGAGGACTGTCCTGCCTTCTGGCACTCCTCCGCCTTGCAGGACTGCCCAAGGGACTCCATCATCCAGTCTCCTGAACAGGCCAAACTCTGCCTTAAGAAGTCCAAAATGGCGGTTTTGATAATCCCTCTTCTTTCTGATATAACTATCAGAGTTAAAAAAAAAAAAAAAAAAAAAAGAGTTGATTGGTTGATTGTGCCACAACCAGAAGCAGAGAGGAGAATAATACAGGATTTAATTTTGCTCGAATTTCTGTCTGCATTAAAAGCAGAGAGAGGAATAAGCATGACTTCCTTGGAGTCCAGAATGCTACTAACATTTATTCCAGGCATGCTGAAGTACAGTTGGAAATTGAAGCTTTCTTTAATTTTACTTCTAATAACACTATTTTTTTCCCCCCCACACTCATTGTGGAAAGAATTTGCCTCACAAAATTGCCTTTTTCCTCACATTGCTTGTCTAGTTGCTTTGTCTTTCTTAGGTTTTGTGTAATAGCAAGATTCGTAAGGTACTGACTTCACAATCAAGACCTGAAAAAACACTGTGATGTTAGAAGGCAGAATATGAGCTGATTTTTTAGATTGCAGTGAAATAAAAAACAGTGGTTTAGCCTAATAGAGTGTCTTTTTGTTCATATTTTCCTATTCTTAAAAAATAAAATTGTTTTTCAGGTTTCAGAAGTGAAGGAATAGAAATCAAAGTAAGAAATGTTCTCAATATTCTTGGAACAAGCAATTCTTCATATTACTACTTTTTATGGGAGTAACTGTCAATCATCAATCTTCAAAAATGTCATAAACACCCACACATGCTATTTCAAAGATACCTAATGTAGGATATATAATACCATATTTCAAACTGGATTCAAAGCTTTTCATCTATCTAATAGTTAAGAATCAGGAAAAACACAAACATCAAATGAAATGAAATGTATTTGTTGATGCTAACTGCAAATATTCATTTTATAAAATTTAATAGTCTATTACACATCCATTCTAAAATATATTTTTATGTCTGAATGATGGTAGAGATCCCAGAAATGCCTTCATCCATACAGATCCACTGATTCCAGCAGGTGACCTCCTAATCAGGACTAATCTTAAAATTCATGTTATGCATGGCTTACTGATTTCTTCATTTCTAAAAGAAACAAATAATCTTTCACAGTTATCATTCCATGCTGCTCTGATCTCGGACTTTATAATCCACATATTTGACAAACTCATATTTGTGGAAGGTATACCTTTTCCAAAACAACACAAATGTTCGTAGGGGTCACATCACAGCTTCTACTCCTTTAGAAATGCTACTAAGCACAGTACATCAGAAACAGAGCAATGACGCACATCACATAGATTCTAACCATTAGTTAGTAAATCATTATGAAAAGCAATCAGCAACAGTATATTTGGAGATGCACAGAAAAGTTCTTCCTTGCCTTCCTTGACAAAATAACTATTCAGGCTTTTGTCTGCCACCTCCCACTGCTTTACCTTCTTGCTTAACCTCACCTATACCTGGCTGAAGCAGTAGCCTTTGTCATGACCAGGCAGTATTTTGTCTAATTCAGAATGTTTATAGTACTGCACTGTTGGTTGACAACCAGATGGGTGATAAACATCTGTGCAAAGTTCAACAGACAGGCCAAGGATATGATGACAGAGCTCTAGAAGAAGTGGTTAGGGCTTCCACAGAGAGTCTGAGAATCCCTCACTGTACTCAGCAGGCCAAGGACCTCACAGAGTGTAGCCATGTCCAAGTCCGTAGGCACACATTAAACAGACGCTTAATAAAAGGAATAACAGATTCAAACAATAATTAAGCTAACACTCTCTTTTTTTCATCTCTCTTATTTGCAGGATGTTTAACATTACATGAGGAGCCTAAGATCATAGCACAGACATGGAAAAAATGCCCTTGCATCCCTGTTGGCTTGGGCAGGTAGCAGGGCCACACCAGCTCCACGTGGCTCCTCTGGAGCTGTGGGGCCTCTAGAATGTACTGGATATATTTTTCCCTCTCCGACATCAGCTTTCAATGAATGCATTATTTATTCATTAGTACTACATTCAAAGTGCTGTTCCCCTTGTTACTTTGTGAAATAAATGAAAGAACAGCAATATCATTCTAAATCCCAATTTAC